AAAGTGAAGTCGTTCTTTTATGCGCTTAATATTAGTGAACGTGACGAAGAAAACATTTTGAACGTGGAAAGTGCTCTGTTTGGTCTAAAACGTAAAGTTTCAACAAACCAGTTGTCCATTAAAGACTTTTTTTGGTAAAAAGAAGTAACTTTGAAAGAGAAACATTGTTTTTTTTAAATTTTTAATGCTTTCCCGCATCTATTGTTTTTATTTCCCACCCCCGCCGAAAACGATGCATCGAGGTTTCACTGTATAATGTAATTAGAAATAAAATATTAAAGAGAAGTAAGTGAACTGCACTAGAGGTGTGCACACACTTAACTGAAGTGATAATTCTTATTGAAAATGTGTTTTTTTGTTCAGGTTTTTAACAATCTAGCGACAACATGGCAGCTGGGTAAAATTTATCTTTAGGTTTTTTGGTGGTTGTAACTAATGAACCATTAGAGCAGATAGGTGAAATTTTGTTAGGAGATACCTACAAATTCTATTTAAAACAGGGTGATAATGTGGAACTTTTAGATTATATTTGCCAAATTTGTCATAGAATTTATGCTTGTGGAAATCATGCATTACTGTATAGTAATTCTCTCCAGTTTCTTGTCTTATCTAATGTGGTGAGAGTATATGTGTGTTTATAATTCAGGTTGGTTTACGTATGGATGGAAATGTAATAGTAAACAACTCGGAGACAACAGGCGAGGTTCCTTTGGAGCAAGCTGTTGTGACCTCAGTCAAAGCTGAGGAAATGCCAATAGAAAACCAGATACATCAACAACCAGACACCAAGCCAACTAGTGAAGAGATCTCTCAGGCAGGTGTAGCCTATAGTGAAATAACTATAAAAATGTCATTTGTTTATTTATTAAACTGCAGTTATGATAGACATTGTCAGTTGTTTTACATACATTTTACTTTGAAATGTGGTCTTCTGTGAAACAGTATGTTATACAGACATTCTGATGATATATGAAGATTGCATAGGTAACATTAATTCTAAAGAAGAATATTCAATCCTTTGAAGTACATATTATAGGAGCACTTCCTTAGATAGTTATGTGACGAGTTGGGAGCAGCACTACTTCTATGGCTATCCGGTCCGTATTCGGTCTATGGCCTCCTCAATTCTCCTCTTCCATTCTGTCCTCTGTTTGGTCCTTCTGTCCGAGGTAGAAGCAGCACTAGTTCCAGATAATATAGGATCCTAAATGGTCTCTGTATTCAAATTTTAAGTTAATGTTTTGTTGTAATATAAAATAGCATGGCAGCCAAATGAAGTCTACAGTTCTCCATTTGGTGCTAATAATGAATGGAGGTAGGAACTTGTTTACACAGACGTCATAAATATGCAAGCAAATTTTGTGTAAACAGTGTTTCTGTATTAAAAATTTCAAGCATGATGGTGGTGGAGAAACGTACAGTTATGTCTGGAAAATGCAGATACTTGAAATCTTGACAGCAGTAATGTGTTACACATTGTTCACAGTCTGAGGTATAATTGAAAGCATTATGTTTCAGGAGTTTTCTATCTTCCTGGGGCTTCTCTGATGATTTATTAATATACCATCCCAAAAATTAGAAAGTCCCTGGTTTGGTTTAAGCTGTTACCACTTATCTTAAAGTAAAAAGTCTGTCAGCATAATGATAGCCAATCATTGTAGACAGCAGCAGAACACCAACTCTTGAAATGTCATAGACTGAAAATGAAAACAGATGTCTAACATAATATTGATATAACAAATTGACCATTGCCACAACTTTCAGAGAACCATTAGTGAGAAACTATAGTTGCATATTTTATGCACTGAAGTAGGATATTGAGTTGTATAATTGTTAGTTTATAATTATGTCAGCACATTTAAGGTGAGTAGATGTAAATTCTTTCCAGAACTCGTTGCAGTCCTGAAATTTTATTGGTTATGTTCTCAGGAGAATGCTGTATCATCCAGTGTTGCCCTTGGACAACCAGAACAAAGCACTGCATGCTTACCAAACACTGGAGAAACCATGTAAGTTATTCATTGTTTCCTCTGTCTGTTATAGTTTATCCCATAATGTTTTTTGACAGATATGAAGTGTTTGAAGAGGGATGGTAGGTCAGATATTGCTGAAACTTGAAAATTGGACAATTTTTTTTTTTTCAACTGAAATAGTTTTTGTAAAAGTGATATAAGAGAAGACTTTTTCATGTTTATTGTTAACCCCTTAAGTGGGCTAAGCGCATAAACTTTGCCCCACTTAAGGGGTTAATAAAAAAAGAGCAGATGTAGCTCAGGCAGTATAGTGACTGACTGCGGTTCGATCCCTGACAGGGTCAGAGGATTTTTCCTCTAGCGTCTGTGTCCAGATTAGCTCTGGGGCCTACCCAGTCTCCTGTCCGATGGGTACTGGTGTCCTTTCCCAAGGCTAAAGTGTGGCCAGGACACGACACTGACCACTTGTTTTGTTTTGTGTGTACTTTGCACATCTATAAATAAATTTTTTTATATTGATTCAACATAAGGAAGTACTGCATGCACTCATTGGAACAGCCTGTGGTCTTTTTATCGACCACTGCTGCCTACTGGTACTGTCAGTTTTGCTTAGAATGTCCTGAAGGCTTGACCACACAGTGAGATAATTGCTACAGATTTATTTGTTGAATTTGTCTGTTATATTTGTTTATTGTTTTTGCATCAGTGACTTTAATTTGATAATGAGATTCGTGTTTTCACAACTAGTAGGAACATTACTGCCACGTGTGTATCTTAGTGGAAGGTGGTGGTGTTTATTTACTCCAAGTCTCTAGCATTATGGGATGAGGAATAGTTGCATGCTGTGCAAGACATTAAATACTTCTGAAATTTTTTATATGGTGTATGAATGCAATATTATATACTATCTGTGGAATGTGAAAGTCTTTGCATTGACTTTAACTCTGAGAATTTAAATTTTCAATCACCATTGCCATGGCACATTTATGGGTCTGATTGATTTGAAAACTTGGAGGGAAGAGGTCTATTGGATTTCTTGGATGTAGACATGAGGATCATATTACAAAAATCATAAAGAAGTAGGATGTAAGGATGGAGACTGAACTAACTTGGCTCAGAATAGGGACCATCTTTTGGTTATAAGGATGGATGCCGATCTTGTGATGACAAATGTGTTAATTTCCATCTTCATGGCCTGTTATATGGCATAATCTTGATCGTTTTATTTTAACATTGAACTTTATCATCAGTTTTATCGCCTGGCTCATTCACAGCCAGGCAGACAGTTAATTTTTAAGTAACAAGTTATGTTTCTGTTGCTTTTTATGTTAACCTCATCCCACTAGAAGATCCTTACACAGACTGACTTTGCTGATATTACATTTTAATGTACCATTCTAGCTCAACAGGGATGAACTCTGAGCAGATGATAATTTTTCTTTAATCACAGTACTGATACAGGATCCTTATATGATCTGTCATCAGTGTCATCGTTATATTTTTAGTTGCTCTAACACGAATTAAACGTAAAAAAAATATAGACACACAAAAGACAGGACAAATTCCTCTCTGTACAACTGTTAGCTTCTTAACAAGGACTCTGCTTCCTCCAGACATATACTGGGAAAAAGGATGTTCTTAAAAGTTGACTCTTGCTGTATCGTGTTCAAGAATGGGTGGCGGATAATATATATTATTTTTACTTTTTTATATTTATCCAGTATTGATAGTGGTGTAATGCATATTCTAGTGTAATGGTTATAATAGAAAAGGCAAGAAGAGCTGAGAATACTTTGAAGCAGCAAGAGTAAGTAATTGTACATGTTCTTTTTATCCTTAATACTATCATTCCTGTTGTTCTCTTAGCTTTCCCACTGAATTTGTCACAATTATTATCCAGTTATATTTGCATATTTATGTTTGTAGTCTTGTTGTTGTGATATGCTTCTACATTCTGCTGAATCAGGTATGGGTAAGGGTAATTGGTTATCATGAAACAGAAATCTGCACTACTTGCTGCTATCTGTCATATAACAACTCAGGAATGGCTGAACAGATTTTCATAAAATTTGGTATGGATCTTATGCTATAGGGGGCTACTCCAAACATGCACTTTTTAAATTTCTGCTGTCATCAATACCAATGTGACAATGTGAGAACTTGAGGTGGGAGGATGATTCTCCCTGGTGATGTAATTGCCAATGATCTTCTGCAATGACATCATTCTTGATAGCATTATTGCCCGTGATGTCTGTATGCATGTTCCACTTTGAGGAAGGCCAAATAGATTTTTATGAAATTTGGTATGGAGGTTATGCAGTTGGAGTCTGCTAAAACTCATACTTTTTAATTCCCTACAATCAGTAGTACCAACATGACAGATGCTCAGACTTTTGGGAGGATGATCCTCTTCAGTGAAATCATTGCCCATGATGACATCATCACAGGTGACATCAGCATCCAACCAGGCAGGCACCATAATCCCTACCCATGCAAATATCACTGACTTCTGGCAGCCATGTTACTTGTGCCATTTGCAAAGATTAAAGGTCAGTTTAAATGGTTATTTGAATACTAGGCTAGTATGCTAACCATTATGGGCATATTCTGTCTGTCACTCCCTTTGTCTGAAGAGGTTGTGCTGCCATCTCTTGGAGGCTATGTGAAGTATTCATGCTACCGTGGAAAAGGGAAGCTTTACACCAAAGAGATACAGCATCCAGTACAACTTGAGGCACAACGTGTAACACAAGACACATTTGAGAACTCTGTTAATCTGACAGTCTGGACCAAAGAGATGCAACAGCCAGCACTGGTGCAATTTTTTTACAACTTAATGTAACAGGGTGTGCCATGTCTGTCGCATTCTGCTTGCAATGTTGCAGGCATGAGAACCAGTGACAACAAAAAGACTAGTGTGAAATGGATGCATACTATGGGAAACTTGCATTTATTTCTGTAGTTTGCATCCTAATTTTATATAAATGGCCCAGCATATTTGCATAGTTTATGGAATGATTTCTTGATCATGCAGTACATTTCATTAAATTTATTGAGATATGTAGATAAATCTTGTGAAACTGCAAATGTGCTGTAGGTTAACACCTTTCTAAAATATAAGGATACACCCAGTGTTTCGTTTTGCTTCTAACACCATAATTATTCACAGCAGCCATAGATAACTACATGACATCCTCATTTTAGGAATACATTACACACACTAATTGCAAACATGTGTCATTGGTGAAGACTCGTGTGTCTGTTGTGTTGCTTTATCTCTGCCAATGTCATGCCACATGTTGTGTGTCTTTGGTGTAGATCTTGGACCCATATGAACTAATTTATATCATGCCCATAGAATGTGGCAAGAAGAATGCCTTGAAAGTAGTGTTTTATGGAGAGTACATTTTTCCAATCTCATTTGGTTTTAGACAATGCTGTGTAAACTAGCATAGTATGACCCATCATAGTTAACAGGAATGAACTGTAACCATCCTAACACACATACTCGCTGTTTCTTTATTGTAGCCACGGGTCAAACCCAGTGCCTGGCACTCGTGCGGTTACAACTTTGAATACTTCTGATGAGTGTGGAAGGGATATAAGGAAATTCTGATAATGGGTGTGGGTTTTGTCGGTGAGCAAGGGCCTCCAATTCTCAGAGAATATACTAGGAAGGCAGTGGTGGGGTTGATGTTTTCGCGAAGGATGCGAAATCTCTTGCCTTGAGCAACTAAAGACGACACTGTGGTGATCTTAGAGATGTTCACTTTTATTGCCGCTTGAGACACTGATGCACAACCAATTACACTTATTGCAAGGCAGCACGATGTTTTGGCTGTTTGTCTTTGTATATAAAATTTAAAGTACGAGCAGAACGTGTCTGCACGACTTGAAGAACGAAACTTGAGAGAGCCCGCAACAACACAATCGCTCTATAAATACCCCCGCAACTCGTAACTGTTCTTAAATTTTGAATTGAATACGGCAATCCGATTCGTCCCTCCAAAATCACCCCATAACAGCAGGAACGCGCCTAAAAGCCATATTCAAATTTCATTGGTCAGTTGCAGTGAGGTGAAGGTTGTAGAGCAACCATCATTCCACATCTGGAAAGGTTTAAGTACTCACTTTGTAAACAACTTTTAAGATTGAGAAATCTTTGTTTAATTCTTGTTCCCTCTAGACGGAATGTCGGGAGGAGAGACATTCAAGCGACTGAGTGTTGCCACTCTCTTCCAATTTAGTACATTTAACAATGCTAAAAATTAATAAAATCACTCAAATTTGGATGAAGTAAGGCGTACCAAATATCATCTAATCACACCTCCTTTGTTTATATCCAGATTAATATGCTAAAGCCTGGTTTTCTCCTCATCTCAAGTTTCAGCCCGTTGGGAATCAAACTATGAACTTGGACTGGCACAGAACCTCTTTTGTGTTGAATGGGAATACAATTTATTGAAGCATTATCTTTGCAAATCAAATTGAAAGTACAAAATTTATAAAATTTATTTTACAAACTAAATTAAGTATGAAAACATCTTCATGGTGACTGAAGCCACATTCCTGTCAAATGCACCTGCACAGAACTGACTGCCTGACTTCAGACTCCTGCCAAATACAGACTCTACCAGACCTCCCAATGCCTCATTTTTATTTCTTGCTAACAGTGTCACCATTGTCAGAACTTAATCTCAGTTGTTTATATGTTTGTTTCCCCCCCCCCCCCCCATCACATGTTCAGTGCACTTGTACAGTCAAGTGCAACAGACATTGGCTGTTAAGTCAGGAATAGACTAGAAAGAGGAGTATCGCAGTAGAAAAGAGTGAGGAGAGCCAAAAAGATATGTAGGTCTGGGAAAGAAATATAAGCGAAAGGATGGAATGAGGTAAAGACAGGTGGGGATAATGGAAAGAAAGAATAGAGAGTAATGATGGTAGGACCAACATGGGAGAATAATAGGGGAGAAATAAGGAAATGAAAAGAAGAGAATGCGCAGCTAAGAAATCATTGGCAGTTGAATTTAAACAGGCTCTTACACTTGTATTCTCATATATAACTCAGTTCACCTCTTTTCTAATGAAGCTGTAAGAAATATAAAACTGTTGGTTTAATTTGAGTAGTGTAAAAGTCATTATAAACCTGGAGTTTATTTGCCAAAGTGAATGGAAATTGTTATACTTTACCAAGATTCAAGTTCAGAACCACCACGTTTGATAAATTACTTGAAGTACAATATATAGATGGTAGGAGTTTTCCTGTACATAGAAATTTTTTTATATGCTTTCAAAGGGCTTTTCTGTTGTACATTGTAACACATATTTATGTTATTTTGTAGATGTGTGTACTGCATTTTTATGAGGATTATTTGTTCATTCATTCTTATTTTGTAAATGGCTTTGGCAGCTTATATACTGTAATATGAACAACTGAAATTAAGTAAAGAACTCATAGTGTAAGAATGTTATATCCATATGCACTTTGGTGCATTTGCAATGAAAAGTTGCAGAAACATGTGTTTGGACTTCCTTGTGTGTCTACAAGTGAAAATTTTAGAGGCGGTGAATGGTTATTCATGAAATGTTATAATGGGGAGTGTACTAAACTTTGTTGGTACTTTACAGTTTTGATTAAAATTGGACATCAGTAATGAACAATTCGTATGAAAACCTATGTGCATTTCTCTACACATTAGGAAATCTGTTCAGTGCTTCTGAATATTCTAAATTGTTATGCCTTTTTAATATGGTTATCACTATTTCCAGTCCTCCAGCCCAGGTCAGCAAAAGTCAAATACGTAATTTAGGACAAAAGTGGGAAAGCATGTTGGAGTAAACCACCTAATTGTACTGACAGAACAGTTTCTTAACTACATACTATATTGTACCCTTCCTCCTGTTCTGAAAATACCATCTTGTGCTGCATGGCAAGAGGAAACTTATAGTTCAATTTAAAAGTAATTATGCTTGTACCCATATCAGTGTTGCCAACAATGTCATTCGTTTGTTAAAAGTAATAATAGTACATAAATACACATTGTCTGCAAGAGTAGTTTGAAATGTGAAGTTTTTGTCAGTTTTAAAGTGTGTAATGGTGGTGGTGGTGGTGACAATGCAGATATTTGAAATTGTTTTAAATTTGCTCTTAATGTAGGTAGATTTGAAGTAACTATCATAATTTGCCATCTTTTATTATCAGCAATTTAACAACAGAAAATGTCAGTGTTGGTCTTGATTGTTAATCCATGTTGACTTTAGTTCTGAAGATGTCGGCACTGTTTCTTGGAAACGTTAGTATCTGCTTACAGGGGCACATTCCAGACTGACATTGACCTCTTATCTACCATGAGAGTAACAAATCTCAACTGAATCAGTTTTCCATAATGAAAAATAGCATTTTAACATACTATTTTGCTTTTTGGCAGCACTGAAGAAATGGGTTCTTTTTAAAGGTGTGGGTATGTATTGTTTTAAAGGAATAGTACAAATTTAACAATTTTATTTACTAACCTCAAAATTTTTTGGGAATGAACATGGTAATTAGGCTTCTTAGGCAAGTTTTTGGTCAACTCTGAAATTTAAAAAAATTATACGCGCCGGCCGTGTATTTCATATTCGGCGCGCTTTTCGCGTACTGTGTGTCTAATTTTTAATATTTCGTGAAGGTAATATGGCGGTCTGTGTTTGGTGTTAATGCAGTATCGTGACATACTTTTATTTATTTACAGAGCCATTAAAACGGAGGAGCCTCAAGATATTAAGCCAGTTATTAAAGAGGTAAGTTTTAACACATACAGTCGTTGAGTAGTTGATTGAAAAGTGTTATTTCTGAACGTACTTTGTTCTCGGAACGTTACGGTGACATGGGAACCGATATCGAGACACCAGCCGATATTGAGTTTATGCAGAAGTATGTATAAGGTCGGTATCTGAGTATGTGTTTGAGATACCATGTTTTGCCTCAAATAGCGTAATATTTATAAAATTGTTTACCCACCTTTGGTAAGCTTACAATCAAGTTGGGGGGGGGGGAGAATTTTAATTGTAGGTATAACCAACTTGGGGCCGTGACCGTCGTCATTAACGGAAGATAAATGTATTTTTTATTGCTGTAATGCACAGTACGAATGGATCCTCGAGTAAGTTTCTGATTTTATAGAAACAATTGCATATGTCCAAATTACAAACCAGCCGTTACCTTGCCAGCATTCCTTTTTATGAATTACATTATTGAGTAATGTGACCGCCCTTGGAATCTGGATTTCCCGAGACTACATCGATCAGAACATTGCCTAAAAGGGGTGATGTAAATATGTTTGGTATCGTGGCAAAGTGACTATGGAGCATATATTTACATTTTAGTGTAAGTGGTTTGTATGATCAAATCATTTTGTGTGGTTTGGAGTAATATCCAGATTGTATAAAACATTTTTAGGAAATACTGAAGAGAATGGATTGTTTCAATTGTCTTTATGAGAGCATCAAGGTAGAATGAACACTTTAAACTTCATTGTAGTATCAAAACATGTGCATCTGTACAGAGCTTTTATAGATGGATGAACGTTAATTGCTTTAAGAATGAGAGTACTTTGTAAAAACAGTACTTTTTGTGTGGAGCATATTAGGAAAACTGTTCAGTTATTCATTAAAATTTAAATTAGTAACACTGCTGCCTGTAAGACTTAATTCCAGAAGACTATAAAGTGAAGTAGTATAGCCAAGGTTGGTTTAAAATTATAAGAAATTCAAATTCTAACAACATATCATGCTTTTGAAGGTTTATTTGAATATTTACAGCTTTAAAAATGTTAAATTATAATACTTGTTACTTATATCATGTTTTTAATAACCCTTTGAAGGCAAAGCTCATCTTCATAATTATACATCCAAACCCTGTTTGCGCATTACACCTTATCTACTGCCAGTGTTGGCATTAAAGTGGGCATGGCAGGAAATTGGACCCCCATCACCTCAGAATATCACCAACACATACCTGAATCGTGTGTTTATCTCGTAAAAGCAAGAAACGGTGTGCAGCTTATTGTGGGCAACATTTCCATTTTCAAATTGTTGACCCTCCAGCTAGCAGGTTCATCTACATGAACTGCATGGGTTTGGAATGTTGTTGTTTACATCATTTACCTTAGGTCATGACCCAACTCCTCTCCTAGTTAATGTAAGTGGTTTCTGACTTGAGTAGGTTGTAGTTGTACTTGTAGAATTGTTGCTGTGTGATGTTTGTACACCTAAATATTCCAGACAGTTGTCTGTGGAAACAGAATAGCATAGTACTGTATCCTTGTTTATAATGCTTAATGATACATTTGTATCACCACGTGTTTGGTGATGGCTGGTAGCAGGGATGGTACTTTGCCAGTTGATTCTCTTTGAAGTTGTGTCTGTCTGAATGTGTGTGTGTGTGTGGAAGGGAGAAAGCACAAACATGCGCAAAATTTGAAACTTTATTTAAGGAAGCACAGATTATCTGAAGAAATTTGTAGTAGTTCTAAAGTTTTTGGTATATTTTTATTGACAGGAACCAAGGTTAGTGCCTGGGAAGCTTGCAGTGTGTCATTTCTGTGGATACACATCATTAGATTTCTTTCGCTGCCAGCGGTGTAGAAGAAAACTGCCAGAAAACTGCAAATCTATACCTGTTCCAGACGGACTTAAAAAGAAATCTGTTAAAGAAGGGAGCATTTCTGAGGTACAGTTAATTTCTCCTTTAATAGTCATTAATCTGATGTGGGTCTAAAGGTTTGTGATAGCAGTTTAGAATTGTTATGGCATTCTTTATCTTAAAAATCTGTACTCCTCCCCCAGTATTGTCAGGGTGATTAAGTCGAGAAGAATGAGATGGGCTGGGCATGTAGCACGCATAGATGGGACAAGAGGTGTGCACCGGGTACTGGTTTGGAAACCTGAGGGGAAGAGACCGCTAGGGAGACCTAAATGTAGATGGGAGGATAATCTCAGGCGGGATCTATGGGAGATAGGAGTCGAAGGAGACTGGATTTTATTGGCCCAGGACAGGGTCCGGTGGAGGGCTTTGGTTAATTCGGTGATGAACCTTCGGGTTCGGTAAGCCATCTAGTTAGTTAGTTAGTTATATCAAATAATTTTTAAACTGCCTTTGGAAGTAATCAAATGAATAAACTGCTCCTGAAAGTAAATAGAGTCAAGAGTTTCCACTTCTGCCTAGTATTTCAGAGGTCCCAGGTTTAGATTTCTAGTTCTTGTGGTTTGCCACAGAATCTCGACGCATGTGCCAGAATAGTACCTTAAATTAGACCACCACCACTTCCGTTCATATCTTTTCAAGTTTATTATTATCAAATAATCCTGTCATTCGATGCTATATATTTAGAGTCTCTGACAAGTATGGTAGTAAACACATGTGACTCTTCTGCAGAGCACTTGATACATTAGGCAACTCATTGATGTTACAAGTGAACCTTGAGGAAATGGAAGATTTAATACAAAATATTTTGAAATGTATGAAGAAGAAAAAAACATACTTCATCCGAAGTCAGATTTCTTTTTCACGAAATTGGTATAATTGAAGTAAGTGCTGCTTATTTGCAGAACAAACCGTTTCATAGTACACATTTTTTTCCAGCTCTTCTTAATTGTACATTTATTCAAGTGCTGTATTTATACACCATATCTTTTTTATTACCATGTGAGGAACGAAGTTCAATAAATAGATATGTGGATATTATATTAATTAAACACCACACAGAGAATAACATTAAAGTTGAGTATGTGTTTTTACCACAGATGTAACCAATACAGCATTTAGTTATGTAATTAAATTGTCTTGTGTGTACTTTTCAGAAATATTTTTCTAAAACATCTCTAAAAGTCGATAGTGCAGAGGTGCCAAAAGGCAGAGGCAAAGGTCGTCCTGGTAAAAGAACCAAAAGCAAACTGGTTGAGGAACCTGGTAAGCTACAACAGACTATCTTAAATTGACTGAAGTCTGTAACTAGCTCAATTTCTGAGCTTTGTGATTTTGAAGTGCTAAGGTAACAGTTTGTATCTAATGTCCCAAAAAATAATTAAACCTATTATCTACTTAATGATGCACTGGATGCCAAATTTTAGAGGCTTTATCGTTCTTTATGTGTTAGATTGCAACATGCAGGCGTACAAGATAACGTACCACATACAAGGCTACACAGTGAAACAATCTAGATGAACAAGATTGACAATATCACCACTGTAAAGTAAAGTAAAGTTTGTCCCACTGTACGCCATGTAGGCGTTTGGGGTGAGTGGAGGTATAGCTCCTCTCTTCCTTGACCTCGGCACTAGATGGGGGTGAGTGGTCAGCATCACGCCCCGGCCGGCTTTACCCCCGGGAAAGGACCCCGGTACCCATTGTAGAGGAGGCTGGGTGGGCCCCAGAGCCGGTCTGGACGCAGAGGCTAGAGGAAAAATCCTCTGCCCCCGTCGGGGATCAAACCCCGGTCGTCCAGCCCGTAGCTAGTCACTATACTGACTGAGCTATCCCGGCTCATATATCACCACTGTAGCACCTCAAATATCAGATAGGCGTGGCTCTTAATTTCATGCTGTGAATGTTTCATGCCTTCCATTTGAGTTTTACTGCTCTTAATTTCTTTGGTTTTATTATTTTTCTGCAGTTTGTTTGACTTTGTCTTCGGATGACGAAGAGAATACACAATCAGATTTGGATTCAACAGCGGCTGGTGAGAGGTTACTGAATAATGGTCAGCGATTATCTACTGATGGCATCCCATATACTGCCCCTGATCCAGAGGTGACCTCATCTGCTATGGGCAAAGAGCCTATTATTCCTGAGGAAGATGACACGGGGTCAGATACAGGAGAGAATCAACACTCTCAGGGTGTCAGAGGTTGGTGTTAAAAGATATTATCCACAAGCAAGTGAAGACTGTCCTTTATTTTTCTCACTTCTACTGAAATTTGTTGAATGTTTGAGTATTAGCTTCAGCTACTATTTACAATGTCTGTTAATATTGAGCTACAATTTTTGAGCAGGGTTCTGTGTCCATTTGGGATTTCTGTTGGGCAAAGTGACCACTGCTCTGAGTCCTTCGGTTTCCCGTATCATTCCACCAGTGATCCATATTTACTCATGTATTATCTAGGGGATGAACAATGGTCCTGTAAACGTCCATATTTTTACAAAGACATTGTCACACGTCTTGACAACAATAATGATGATAAATTTTGTTTTCAGGCTGAATATAATATCAAAATAAAAAAAATAAAAGGTACTGCTTTCGAAGTTCATTTTCACGCTATAATTTTTCAAAAACCATTATGCTTTGGCTGTGTGTTCATTGTGTATTATTAAACATAACATGAAATGAGGGTATGTTGCCAGTAAGAGATCATACTACATGCAGAAGCACAGAAAGATGATGTTTTAATGCTTGTGACAAGTGGATTTGATTCATTATTATATAATTGCATTGCACACTACACAATGTTTGAGATACATTCAAAGTATGTATTTTTAGAGTTAAATTGACTTCCATCTTCATGTGACTGTCATTTTATGTATATTTTCTGCCTTTTGTTATGATTGTGTAGATTAATTCATACAGGGTGGTGCACAGAATGTCATACCATTTAATTATCACATTAATACTATAATATTGTAGTATCGATGTTCCAACTGTGCGAGTGAATGCTGTAGTTTGAGGAAATTTGATAGATGGCATCACAAGTCGGAATTGGCCATAGCTGTAAGCGCACACACACCAATCTGTGAAATGGCGGACAATGGGCGGTTGACTGTTGAGCAAAAGGTGGAAGTTGTGTTGTTTTTCGCGGAAACAAAGAGTGTGGTAGAGACTCAGGGACGTTTTCGTGCTCAGTTTGGTAAAAGGTGGGCTCCTTGCAAACACAATTTACAGACTTTTCCAACAATTTGAAATTAATGGTTCTGTGTTGGAGGAAAAGCGACAGCGCCCCGCTAGTGTCTGTACGCCCAAAAACATTGAAGCGGTGCACGTGGCTTTGACTCGAAGTCCCGGCAAATCAACAAGGAGGGCTTATGCTGAGTTGGGAATCTCTCGTCGGTCACTTCAAAAGAATTCTGCATTCAGATCTTCACTTGTTCCCGTACAAAATGACCGTAATGCATAAACTTACAGCGAGAGATAAGGAGCGGAGGCTAGAGTTTGCATTGTGGGCAATGGAGGAAGAGAGCGGTCATATTGAACACGTTATTCATTAGGAACAATTTTCCAGGCTATAGTGACTAATTTTATACCAGTTTTGTACTACTTTTATAAAAATAAAAATGTGTTATATGTAAAACAAATGGTATGACATTTCGTGCGACACCCTGTATATCAAGCATAATATGATGTAACAGAAAGCTGCTTGCAAGGATGAGCTCAATAAACTGGAGCACTTGTGATTATATATGTATACTCCCAATAAATTTATTACTTGGATCTGTACTGTCTAATGCAGAGGTGGGGAACCTGCAGCCTTAAGGCTATATGTGGCATTCTAGGTCCTTAAGTGCGGCCTTTTGACTGAATCCAGATTTTACAGAACAGATTCTTTTATTTTTATTAATACATTTTTCAAGACGCCCTTAAGGTCACAAATGACGGATACCCATCTAGAGGATCAACTGAAACTGCGGACCTCCATGCTGCAACCAAACATTCAAATTCTTTCCAACAAAAAACAGACACAACAAAGTCATTAAAATATTAGTTAACTTTAATATTAACAAGTAGTTTTTATTTTTTGAAATTATTAAGTACATAGTAGTTAGATTTTTACAAAATAATGTACATTTTTAAGTATATCTAATTGAAGTTTCTTGACTGCGGCCTTATTTGATTACAGCTAAATTAATGTGACGTTCCAACATGAAAAGGTTCCCCACCCCTGGTCTATTGCATTAAGTTGTGGTTTTACAGTGCATAGTATTTGTGTGTTGCTTGTTCGGTGGCATTTTTTCCTTTTATGAGGACTATTATGAAGTTTAAAATTGTAGGTGGAGGAAGAGAATTGGACATGGATGGTATTCTGGATGGTACAATCCCCGGCTCTTACACTCTACTGCAGTGCCGGACTGTTAGAATAGGATCCTACAAAGTGGTCCCTAAGGACCGTGTACTGCTTTCTTCAGTAGGCATTAGAATAGCAGTCCCAGCCATTGAAGATGGTAAGTGTGTGAGAATTATATTTGAGTTGGAACTGCCCTGCTGTATGGTGTTGCATTATCATGAAGCATGATTACACCATTTTCTTGCTTATGGATTTGATGTGTTACTATTTTCACGCAGAAAATGAATTACAGTTCTTGTTTGTATATTTGTCCATCAGTCCAGCCGTGTTGCCAATTTCGTTTGCGTGTCTTGTGTTTATGTGCAGACCTAGTTCACTCTTCTTGCTGTTCAAACAAGTATTCATGCTATTTGTATCCCCCTCACCTGTTGTTGATAAAATACACTTGTGAACATTTCTTCTTCTTCTTCTTCTTCTTGTAGCGTTATAACCCTATGTGGGTCTTGGCTTGTTCAACGAGTTTTAAGTAAAGCGTCCCACTAATGCCATGTAGGCGCATTGGGGGAGTGGAGGAATAGCTCCTACTCTTTCTTGACCTCGGCACTAGATGGGGGTGAGTGGTCAGCACCACGCCCCGGCCGGATTTACCCCCGGGAAAGGACCCCGGTACCCATTGTAGAGGAGGCTGGGTGGGCCCCAGAGCCGGTCTGGACGCAGAGGCTAGAGGAAAAATCCTCTGCCCCCGTCGGGGATCAAACCCCGGTCGTCCAGCCCGTAGCTAGTCACTATACTGACTGAGCTATCCCGGCTCACACTTGTGAACATTTACCACATGCTATTCCTGCATCTTACTTTTGGGACGTTTGTATATGTGTGTATTATGTTGAAAAATATTTTGAATTAAAGTTTTGGATCTTAGTTATATTTCTGAAGTTCATGGATATTGTAGGTTTACATTTATCATTCTGTTTTTCTCATCTTTGTGTTCTTTGTTGTGCTGTTTTTTGTTAAAATGTTAAGTTAAAAGCTACTACAGCATAAGTCTAGTCATGCTGCGAAGGTGGCATTAAATATTTAATTTGCAGCCATACTTCAGTTTTTTATTGTAAGGTTTGTGTCAGTCTAAAAGACAAATTATTATCGTTTGTGTATGAAGTGTCTTATTGTAGCAGAACTGCCACCGGGTATAAAACCATTTGCAGTTAATAATAAATAATAATAATAAAGGGTAAAATTATCCCTGTGCTTAATTAAGCACCATACCATGTTTTTAAGTAAACAGGTATATATGTGTTGTTTACCAAAAGTAGTCAGAAATAAATGTAGACATTAGTTATACAGTGAAACCTCGATGCATCGTTTTCGGTGGGGGTGGGAAATAAAAACGATTAATGCGGGAAAACGATAGATGCGGGAAAGCATTAAAAATTTAAAAAAAAACAATGTTTCTCTTTCAAAGTTACTTCTTTTTACCAAAAAAGTCTTTAATGGACAACTGGTGTGTCGAAACTTTACGTTGTAGACCAAACAGAGCACTTTCCACGTTCAAAATGTTTTCTTCGTCACGTTCACTAATATTAAGCGCATAAAAGAACGACTTCACTTTCGCCAATGCAGCGTGTGCTTCGGCAAAACTCGGCAAAGCTTTGGGCTCGCATTCGTCGTCTTCCTCTTCCTCACCACTCCAAC